ATATATATATATATATATATATATATTTCTGTTTCACATTAGCTCTCTCTGTCAACTGGATGTCCCATTGGTTGGTTGGTTAATAAAAATTTTGACTAGTAAATGGCAAAGACCAAAATACTTGATATTATTGGATATTCAAGGAGTTATCTCTGAACAAATATCTCATAACCAAATATTGGAACCCTTATTTTAATAACCCAAAGCTTCTTTTTCCCTGCATTAAATTTTAAACATCACGTGGAACTGTAAATGAGCACTATCTCAGAAATCTGCTTCTAGGAATGAAGACAGACTATAACTTCAGAGGACAGTACAAGCAGGTGCAGTCAGGCATTTTTACTCACTCTGTTTAGACTAGTAAACTTAGTGCAATTGGTGGCATTGGCATGCAGTAGGTGCTTATGCAATAGGAAAGAATGGGTTTAAGTGGTGTGGAATGTGCTTTCCAATGAGCACTTAATATTAACAATTGTATTTACTATCCTATCTAATAAAAGACAAAAGGGTAATTAACCGTACCTCCGCTATGCTTCCCATTGGCTAATCAGGGCAATATGCAAATTAACTGCTAACAAAGATGGTGGCTGGCAGCCATGCAGCTGAAGCATGCAGGAGGCTTGCTTGCTCCAGTGATGGAGGAAGCCAAGGTTCCCCACCTGCCGCGGCCCGGCTCTGAGCCCGAAAGCAACAATGTTTCAATTATAGAAGCTAAACAAATTGGGAGCTTCAGTCACCCGCCAGCCTGAAAACAGCCCTCGGCCCCTCACCCAGACTGGCCAGGCACCCCAGTGGGGACCCCCACCGTGAAGGGGGTGTGACCAGCTGCAAACAGCCATCATCCCCTCATCCAGGCTGGCCAGGCACCCCAGTGGGGACCCCCACCCTGAAGGGGGTGTGACCAGCTGCAAACAGCCATCATCCCCTCATCCAGGCTGGCCAGGCACCCAAGCGGGACCCCCACCCTGATCCGGGACACCCTTCAGGGCAAACCAGCCGGGCCCCACCCGTGCACCAGGCCTCTATCCTATATAGTAAAAGGGTAATATGAAAACTGACCCTAACAGCAGAATGACTGGGAATGACTGGTCACTATGACACACACTGACCACCAGGGGGAAGACACTCAATGCAGGAGCTGCCCTCTGGTGGTCAGTGCGCTCCCACATGGGGAAGCTCTGCTCAGCCACAAGCCAGGCTGATGGCTGCCAGTACAGCAGTGGTGGTGGGAGCCTCTCCCGCCTCCTCAGCAGCGCTAAGGATGTCTGACTGCAGCTTAGCCCTGCTCCCCGCTGGCAAGTGGACATCCCCCGAGGGCTGCCGGGCTGCCAGAGGGATGTTTGATTGCCATCTTAGCCCAATCCCCCGGGGAGCAGGCCTAAGCCAGCAGGTGGTCATCCCCCGAGGGGTCCCAGACTGCGAGAGGGCACAGGCCGGGCTGAGGGACACCCCCCCCCCGAGTGCACAAATTTTTGTGCACTGGGCCTCTAGTCTATATATATAAATGGCTAATATGCAAAGTGTCCCCTTGGGAGTTTGATCACTCGCTATGACGTGCCCTAACCACCAGTGGGTGGTGCGTAATGAAGAAAGGCCCCTGCCGGCAGCCAGAAGGCCCCAATCAGCTCTGATCACCGGCCAGGCCTAGGGACCCTACCTGTGCATGAATTTTGTGCACCAGGCCTCTAGTGTTTTATAAGAGAACTGGAAGACTGAGAACAGTGGGAAATATCCAAGATTACAAATGAATATTATTTGCAATGAATAATGTAGAATATTATAGAAAAAGTAATGATCACCTGATCAAGATCTTACAGAACTGTAAAATAAATAGAAAAAAAGTCTTAAATGAAAGAAAAATAAAGCAACACATTTAGGAATAAATTATCAAAGCTATATTTATAAGATAATGGGTGTACCTTTCTCTTATACTTAGAATTAATGTTTATACTTTGAGACTGGTCATCTTTCTGTCATGACTTATTCAATATTAACTAGTCTCTGCTCTTACCATTAGCCAACATTATGTACAAACATCACCACCAGCATCATTATCTTTACTAAACACACTTTAATCGTGACTTGCTCCTATTCCCTCTTACCTATAAAACGAATTCTAAGACACTGATTTTATTCATAATTTATGTTTCTACTCTCCTCTATAAAAACTGTGCTCTAAGCACACTGACCTACTTTATATTTTTAAATGTTTCATGCTTTTTCAAACTTCTTTGACTTTGCTAATGCTGTCACTCTTGCATAGAAAGCCCTTCTTAAACCTTATATTTGGTAAATTCATTGGAATTCCTTGAGGCCCAAGTCAAATGTGACCTTCTCTCTTTTACATTTCTGAATTTCCCTTTCTCAAATCAACTTTACCTTGAACTATGTTTAGAACCTATATGTGCCTAATAAATATTTATAAAATGGACAATTATTTATATAAATAACTATTAACTTCAAGAATATGAAGTGTGGGACTTAGTTTCATTGATGGTTATATAAAAAAATCTTATACAATAATTTTTCTGAAAAGCCATGAGTATGTAAATCAAAATGTATTACAAGAAAATAGAGTGCTCTATTTGCAAGTTAAAAATATGCTATTCCTATATGCATTCTATTTTATTAACACATTTTGTCTATCTTGTAAATATAGCCTTAAGATTGCTTGATGTAGGAAAAGCTGGTAACCAATCAGATATACATTACTTTAGTCTTGCTTTGTTTATTGAGTTGGGAATAACAGACTAGCCATTTTCAGTAATGTATGAATACTATTGTTATTATTTACTTTTTACCAATTTTAATTAAAATATTTGTTTACTGCAACCAGCCTAGAGAGTTCTTCATTGGGAATATTGTTTCAGTATCAGATCAAAAAGAGAAAAAAAGTATGATAGATAGATAAAGAATGACATTCTTGCAGAACTACATAAAAAAAGAGGACCAGCCCTCGCCCCTGTGGCTCACCAGTGTGATTCCTGGTCAGGGCACATACCTGAGTTGTGGGCTCGATCCCCAGTAGGGGGCGTGCAGGAGGCAGCAGATAGATATTTCTCAGATTAATGTTTTTTTGTTGTTGTTGTTTTTGTTTGTTTGTTTGTTTTAAATATGTTTTATTAATTTTCTACAGAGAGGAAGGGAGAGGGACAGAAAGTTAGAAACATCGATGAGAGAGAAACACCGATCAGCCGCCTCCTGCATGCCCCCCCACTGGGGATGTGCCCGCAACCAAGGTACATGCCCTTGACTGGAATCGAACCCAGGACCCTTGAGTCTGCAGGCCGACGCTCTGTCCACTGAGCCAAACCGGTTCTGGCATCAGATCAATGTTTTTTTTCTCTCTCAATTTAATAAAAACATTAAAAAAATAAAAATTGAAAAGATAAAAATACAGAGGACCAATGAAATATTTTATTTGAAAACACAGAAAAGTCTGACAAGTGATAAGAGGAAGCTATTTGAATGAAACACAGCTTACTGAATACTATTTGTAGAGCACTGTGATGCAGGTTCTTCACCTTTATGCCTCCCTGTGGATCTCAGCTATTAGAAGAGGAATCGGGAGGTGAAATGCATGGATGGGTAGTTCCTTTTTCAGCAAATTGAGAGGTAGGAGACAGGCAGTATCAATTATCTCTTAAACAAGGTGAAGCTTTTATCTCTCTAAAGTGCGACAAAGAGTGCGATTTGTTTTGGTCTTGAACCTTACACTAAATATGCTGGTACCCAAAGGGGAAGACCATTTTGAAGAAGTTAATTGGAGTCCCATTTATAACACCACGTAAATTATTTTAACTAATAAACGTGGCTTCCTTTACATCTGTTGGTCAGTGTCAATGAATGGAAATATATTTACATCTTAGTACTGTAGAAATGCCTACTCATGTATTTTAATCAGGAATTTTCAATCAATCATGATTTTTCTTTATGATTTTTAAACAAAGTAAAAGCAGCTTATTTACATTGTCATATAATTGACCTTTAGGACATGCCAAAAATCTTGACACTTTCTGCTTAAACACCATAGAGTGGGTGCAACCTACTGTCTGAAATAAAAGGAAAATGTTGTGACTCTTCCCAGCTCTGGAAAGTGATTTCTGGAGCTTTAATTCCAACATGTGCATGCATAGGAAGAAAGGAACAGAGTGAAAGAAAATACAGTTAGTAACTCAATCTATTATTTTTCAGCCAGGGCTTTTGTAAGACTCTGGTGTAAGACAATAGGTCTTTTATAGTTAGACCATAGATTGATTAGGATTCGGGACTTTTTCATATTCTTCAGCATAGTGTCGATACTGGTCAGTGAGGAGAGGCTGATTGGCTTCATCCATGTTGCTTCTGGCACGAATCAGACAAGAAGCGCCCACAAAAATGACTGCAACCAGCAATAAAGCAGCAACCACTGCTATGGTAATAATCTCAGAAATACGAAAACTTCGACCTATTTGAAAAATAAAACAAGAGCAAAAAATAAATCTGCTAATAGTTGCCATAAAAAATTGGATACTAAAGTTAGGCGCTTTACTGAAATCCTCATACTTCAGTTTTATTGGCTACATTGTCTGGTATAGCACTTGTCATCTTGGTGGCACTTTCTAATTTCTCATAATGAGTAGATTCCATTAGGACAGGTATTTTCATTCTAAACATGAGGAAATAATGGCTCAGAGTATATGTCACTTGCCCAAGGTCATTTAATTAGTAGATAATAGAATTGGTTTTGGAGAACAGGTTTTTCGGAATCCAAGCCCTGTGCTCTTCCACTGTATTCTGTTTTCTTGAAAAATAAATTTAAAGTTACACAAGAAAGTTTTGCATTTCAAAATCTCAGAAAGGACAGCTCAGAGTACCTCATGCCATTTTAAAAAAAAATTTAAAGGATAAACAGAGGCACATTATATTGTACAAAAAGTAGGGGGCTAAGCTCAAAACTCATTTTCTCTGCTTACTAAGCATGTGACCTTTGACAGTTACCCTCGCTAAACCTTGTCTTGCGTATTTGTAAAATCAGGATTGTGACACCATCACAGAGGGCTGCGAGGATTAAATGAGATAGTGTGCTCTATAATCAGCACAATGCCAGGTCAGAGTGGGCTGGCAACAAATGTGAAGTTCACTCTCTTTATCCCCAAATGAAAATCTAAATGAACGTTTCTAAATGCAAGTGGGAAATGTCAGCCTCAAGAATACTGTGATTAGTTTATTTCTAAAGGGAACATATTTCTTTTGAAGATTTCCACAGTAAAAATACATTTTTAATACTCACCTGGCCATTGAACTTCGTAAGTATATCCCAGGTTATCTGGAGCAGTAACGAACATTTCGGTGTTGGTAATTGGAGGCCAGAATGGCACCATGTTGTATTGTCTATTATGTCCAATAGGGGCATTTTCCAACGGATATGTGGATATATCTAAAATATGCCAGAAACACCATATTAATATTAGTATGTAGTTATATTCTGAAGGTGTTCTGAAATATTCAAGCATAACATTAAAAACATTCTTTCATATTTTACAGTGAATAAAGACATAAGTTCTACAGCAGAACAGGAAATTGCATAAAGCAGATTTCAAATGCCTTGAGTACAGCACTAATTAATGTATTATCCAATAGAAAAAGAAAGTTCAAAAGCTGGCGTGTTTTAGTATTTTGTCATCTTTGATGCTCATTAATTGTTTCACTTTTAAATTACAGAAACAAATTTGAATAAAATTAATTAAACTTATTTTTTCAAAGGTAAAGAAAAGATGGGTCTATATAGTTCGCTGTAATATCATCTATGATTTAAATTTGAGAGATAGTTTCTCTCAAATTCAATGGAGGTTTCTCCTTGACTGTGATGTTTCTCTTTAGTATATTTTCTTTTTTTCTGTTTACTTTTAGAGAAATAAATATTAACTTGTTCCTCAGGTTTTACTCTGTTAACAAAAAACACTTAAGATTTCGAATCATGGTCTTGGAATCCTGTTTGCTTCCTGCTACCTCTCCTCTTTCTAAAGTAGTCTCCCTTGACCCATGGTTTTGTCGTCCACAGTTCAGTTACCCACAGTCAACTGTGGCCTGAAAATATCACATGGAAAATTTCAGAAATAAAAAATGTATAAGTTTTAAAGTGTGCTCAGTTCTGAGTAGCGTGATGAAATCTTGACCCTCCTGCTCTGTCCTGCCCACGAAGTGCATTATCCCTTTGCCTAGCATATCCACTCAGTATAGGCTACCAGCTCGTTGATCACTTAGCTGCCTCTCAGTGATCAATCAGCGTTGTGCTATTGCAGTGCTTGTGTTCAGGTAACTGCCCCAAAGCCATTCGTATAGTTTTTATTAAAATATATTGTTATAATTCTATATTACTGCTAGTTATTATTGTGAATCTATACTGTGTGTAATTTATACATTAAACTTTACCATAGGCATGTACCTATAGGAAAAAGCATAGTGCGTGCAGTTCTAGGGTTCACTACTATCCACAGTTTCAGGCCTCCACTGGGGTTCTTGGAACATTTCCAAGAACCTGTAGATAAAGAGGGACTATTCTATTTAAATACAAGTTGCAGGTATTTATATCATCGGTGAGTTTTTGCCCTAAAAGATAAAGGTACTGAAATGTCCTTTGTGGCAAAAGTTGTTGCTTGTTGTTGTTGCTGTTCTATATGTTGGTACAATTAATTACCAGATGGAATGTTACAAAACCAGAGTTGCAAGTGGGTGTGGGCACTACATGAGCGGAAATATGTTGAGAAGAGCTGGGATATGTGAGAACGCTAGTGACGTGTCAGATTGTGTTTGTGAGAAGTCCGTTACCTGGACAGTCTGTGTGTTTCCATGAAGCACAGAAGAGAATTTTAGAATCTAGTTTGAAGAGCAATTGATTCTAGAAATGGCAGGTAGTGTTTATATTGTTGACGCTTAAGTATTTATCTAGTAACATCTGTTGAGCTCCTGGTCTAGGCATGGGGCTATAGCTTTGGACAAAACAGACAAAATTCCTGTCTTCAAGGAACTGATATGTTGGTGTATTGCTGGAAATTATTTATTCAAATGAATAAGTTGGATTTGTAAATTTCCCATTTCACCTTCACTTGATCAGCCTTACCCATGTCAGCTTCAGCTGTGTGATTAAGTTATATCCATTTAAAATGAATGGAGAAATAATAGTAAAAATAACAAACAATAGCAATTGGGTTATAATGTAACCTTTCTATGCAAGACCCTTTGATGGCTCCCCATCTCTCTTTATTATAGATAATGCATTATAGTCATATGTATGTACGTAAATACACATGAAAATGAGGTGGAACTACAATCAGTGAATTCATAGCAGATTGATAAATGAACCAATATTTGTATCTAAGTTATTCGCTTGTTAAATGATTTTCTGATGAATAGTAAAAATCATTAAAAATATTTCACTTGTCAAGTCAACAGCAGTGATTATACTGAGCAACAATTTTTCCTAAGCTTGCCAGGACAGTTTTTCCCTTAATATAATAGCATTGTTTCACTGCACCTATGGTTAGCGATATTTGTTTGCTATATCCGGAATTAGGTTTTAAGCTAGTGGCATGGCATTCTAAATGTAGCCTCCAGGTTAAAAATAATGGAACATACTATTTTGACCAACTCATCAGTTAATGGTCTTAATCAGGTTGAATTAAGAACTTCTACTGTACACACACAAACACATACAAGAAAATAAGGGACTGGCTGAATTGGGTGGATAAATGAATAGGTAGTTAATCTCAAATATTATGTTTATATGCATGATAAAATAAAGGCACAGAAGTCAACATTTAGGACACTTTTTTAAAATATAAAAATTTACAATGTGTTAACCAGAGGAACAACATTGAAAAGTAATGCGAAAAAACTTAAATAACCAGAGGAACAACATTGAAAAGTAATGCGAAAAAAATTAAAAGAAAAAGTAATGTAAGTCTCTCAGCTGAGTAGAAGCAAAGAGAAAGTGACCTTGTAAATAAGCACTTAAAAATATATTAAAATGAACTTAAAAAGAGATTTTCTATGGTGTGATATAAAAACCAACATCATCTTTTCAAGCTGAGCAAAATTTCCATTTGTGAGAGTTCATAAAGTAATAAAATCAAAACTATGGATTATGAGTGTAATATTTTTTCTCTCTTGGAGTATCAAAGAAGAGCTCTGTAAGAATGTCCTGTCTATATTAAAAAGCAATGAGAATGTTCATTGGAAGATATGAGGAAGGAAAATTCTGGAAACAGTAAAAATGAGAAGGGATTAACTGCTTGGTTCTATTGAATGCTAGTAAATATCATCTTACTATAGCAATTCTGAGAGACTTCTTGTCTGCCTTGTCAAAGTGGTTTGGAGTATTTGGAAATGGCTAGATAATAGAGCTATTTTCGCCTTATTTTGAAATGTAGTTCATGTGTGTCAATTGCTTAGCCTGAAGTGATAACTATGCTATCCGAACAATCTTTTTTTGCTGAACCTGCGAAAAGCATATAAAAATGTCTCACCAGCATTATATCTCCTCAGCCATTCATCAAAGATTGCATCAGTGAAAGTATGCAGGAGGACAAAAATAGGATCATTTGGAGATAAATGGGTTTGTCCCCCTGTTCCATTCAGGAATAGATGAGCCAAATTGTGAAGGCTTCGAACAGCAGGATCATACCTTCCCATGGGATCACTGTAACCTAGATATAAAAATAGAATGAGAATAGTAAAAATCATTACAAATATTCTACTTGTCAAGTCAACAGCAGTGATTATACTGAGCAACAGTTTTTCCTAAGCTTGCCAGGACAGTTTTTACCTTAACATATAGCATTATTTCTCTGTACCTTTGGTTAGTGACATTTGTTTGCTATACCCAGAACTGGGTTGGTTTTAAACTAGTGGCATGGTATTCTAAATGTAGCCTCCAGGTTAAAAATAATGACCTGCAAATGATAGCAATCAAAATACATAGAATACTCTATTTCCACAAGGCAAACATCGTTCTATATGACAGTGGAAATCTCTAGCTTCTACTGAAAACTGCTGACACAATTGGGAGACCACTCTGATTGTCCTGGAACTTAAATTGCCAGATGTTACTTTTGTTTCCTATATTATTTCCTTTGAATGACTGTCAGCATATTTATTTTTGGAAACTTATTTTTGTGGAGAAGTTACAATTTCTCAGAGCTTTCTTAACACCTCTGTATTAGTTTTAAACATCTGGAGAGCCTGCCCTCAAAATATTCATAGAACTTTTGATAATGATCTCTATTCCATATACATATTTCCACATATATATCCATTTTATATATAATAAACATATATATTATCTATATATATAAAAGTCTAAGCGACCGTCCAACATTCGACCATTTGTTCAACCAGTGGCTATGATGTGCACTGACCACCAGGGTGCAGATGCTCAATGCATAGGCATGGAAACATGGAACAGACTGATGAATCTCAGAGGGAAGGGGGGAGGGCGGGAAGAGATTAACCAAAGATCGTATATGCATACTAGAGGCCTGGTGCATAGATTCATGCACTGGTGGGGTCCTTCAGCCTGGCCTGCAGGGATCAGGCCGAAAACAGCAGTCTGACATCCCCCGAGGGGTCCCAGATTGCAAGAGGGCACAGGCCAGGCTGAGGGACTGCACTGGTGCACAGATACGTGCACCGCACCTCTAGTATAATATAATTTATATATTTCCCATATATATTCCCATGTTATATGGTGATATTGAGAATAGATCACAAACAAAAACAGAGTGTCTGTGATGTGGGATGGAGTTATATGTGTGTCTTCTGTCTGGCTTGAAGGACCAGAGGTAGGAGATCAAGGAAAGGTTATATATTATAAAACAAAATGCAAATTTAAAATGCATTAACTTACTTGTGTAATTACACTCATTTATTTATTCATGTTCATACATCTGTTCCATTATTTTTTTATTCAAACGTTTAATGATTGCAGTGTATGTGGCATGTGGCTAGCACTAGCCTTTTTATAAATTCTGTCAAGAAATCAGTCTAATTGAGGAACTTATATGCATATGTGCATAGCCCATGGACACTGACAATAGAGTGGTGAAGGCCTGGGAGGGGCATATGTTGGGTGGAGGGGGCCAATGGGGGGCATATAAAAGGGGACATCTGTAATACTTTCAACAATAAAGATAATTAAAAAACAGGAAAAAAAGAAATTAGTATATGTTGTACTTAATTAGGCATCAATAAGATATAATCTGCACATCAATATATGTAAAAGCCCAGCGACCAGAACGGAGGAACGACCAGAACGACCAGAATGGCTGGTGGCTATGACGTGCACTGCGGCAGCCAACCAGCCTGATCCAGGCCCTGATCGGCACTTCCCAACCCCTGGGCCAGCCCAGCCCCAGATAGGCCCCCAACACCCTGATCAGGGGAGGGGCTGCAGCCGGCCAACCACCCATGGCCCATCCCCCCTGATGGCCTGGCCCGATGGGCCCCCTTTGGGACGACCTGCTGAACCCCACCTGTGCACAAATTCATGCATCGGGCCTCTAGATTATTTATAAATCAGTACTTATAACCTCATTTTTTATATATATGTTTAGTCAAATTAATAGTGATAATTTATTGAATTATCTCCAAATAAGTGATTTACATATAGTTATCAAAATCAACATAAAGAGAGCAGAATGGCATATAATTTTGATAATAAAAGGAGAGAGAGTTGAAAATAATTATCAGATTTACACATCAAATATCTTAAATCATGAGGATAGATCAGTGCCCATTTGTGTGTGTGTGTGTGTGTGTGTGTGTGTGTGTGTGTGTCTAACATGGACAATGCTATATTTAAGGTAATATTGAACAATAGCAAGTTTATAATAAAAAGTTTTTCTATCTTTTAAAACATTAAATACAGGGTTGGGAAAAAGTAAGTTTACAGTTTTTCATATCGAAAATAATACAAATAATAAATAATATAAGAATAAATTCTTTTGCATACTCACAACTGTAAACCTACTTTTGCCCCTCCCTGTATATATCAGGCATGATTTAGAGATTTCAAAATTTATTGAATAAAGACACTGAACTTAGAGAGTTTGGGTTTGAATCTGTGCTGTTACTTGCTAGCTGAATATCTTGGGGAATTAATTTCACTTGTTTGGACCTCAGTTTTCTCAGTTTTAAAATACTTTGTTTTAACTAAGGAAAATAAAACTAAATGTCACTATATGCTAGACTGAATTTTTATAGACCTTACAAAAAAGGTACAGGGTAATACAGACCTAAATAAACATGTGCCAAAACCAGGCTTTATAGAATGTGAATGAAATTGTTCAGATTTTCAAATTTTTAAGAAAAAAATGTAATAAGCTCTGAAATGTTCAATATTATTTGTCTAAACTAGAATTTGATATAGTTATACATATATTGGCCAGCCACCTACCAGAAATTTGAGTTTAAATACTTTTTAAGTATTTAAGAGATCTGCGAATAATTTCCAAGAGCTTCTCTTATGCTTAAGAGAGTTTTGTGGACCCTGGCTGGGTGGCTCAGTTAGTTGGAGTATGGTGTTATACACCTAAAGGCAAAAAGTTGCGGGTTTGATTCCTGGGTCAGGGCACATACCTAGGTTGCAGGTCCCTGGTTAGGGCACATATTGGAGGCAGCTGATTAATGTTGCTCTCTCACATCGATGTCTTTCTCTCTCTCTCTCTCTCTCTCTCTCTCTCTCTCTCTCTTTCTCTTCCCCTCTCTCTAAAATCAATAAAAATATATCCTCGGGTGAGAATTTAGATAAAGGAACTCTCCTGGTCTGACACTATTATTTGAGGAAGTGCTTTTCTGAGTAGAGAATTGTGACTATATCATAATAGGCAGCGCCATTCAGATAAACTGATTGGATCAATATGGCGTTTAAAATTTTTTTCAAAGAGATCTGAATGTGAGTACTTCAGTTTACTGTGATAACTAAATCAATTCAAAGCACCGATTTTGTTTACTTGCCTTCCACTGTGTTTCGGAAACTGTTTGTAGAGTTGGAATAAAAAGGAGGTGTGTCAAATAAACCAACTTCTAAGCACTGAGCGACATCCTGTGGTTCAGGAAGACGTTGCACCATTGGTCTAGCCACGTTTCCGGCTGGATTCCTCCTAATTGGCGCCCCCTCGGTGCCTGGGAAGAAGATGGGGTTTGCAAACATTTAGAGAATGTTTTGAGATCTTGCCATTGTCCTTTAACATTTTATATATAGCATGGACCCTGAATAATAGGTTCTTCTTGGTGGAGGAGAGACATTTTTAAAATGCTTTTCAGTGGCATTAAAGTGAGAAAATCTAAGTTATCATGTCAACTTCTCAGAAGAGTAGATAAGTGATACGTAAAATCATCTGAAAGAAGAGGTGATCACAATAACAGATAGAGGTCCCGGTGTTTGTTAAAATCAACATATGCTTCTTTCATGAGACTTTATTAAAATAAACATTCCATGGAAAATTGAATTTTGTCCAAATAATCTCATAAACCTAAATTCTACACTGAAATCTATATTTCATATATGGAGTTTGGTCTTTGAATGCTGCCTGTTTCAGCCCTCAGAGAAAGAAAGAAAAACAGTCTTCAATTTCAGTGAACACATTTTTCAGCAAGTGATGTCAGAAATAATTAAAGTCTTTTGAAGGGCAGTAGGACTAACAACTAAACAGAGAGCTGTGATAATAGGGGTCATATGATAGATGCCTCTTCAGGGAGGGAAGGACATATCTTTCCCAGTTGGGTGGATCCAGAAAGTGCCCTGAAGTACTGAGGAGAATTTCCACATGTTAGATAGGAGATATTTTAGGCAGGGATAATAACAGGAGATGATAAGCTTTCTTCTATATATAATATTAAAGGCCTGGTGCCCAAAAATTTGTGCACTTGGGGGGTGGGGTGCCTCAGCCCAGCCTGCACCCTCTAGCAGTCTGGGACTCCTCGAGAGATATCCACCTGTTGACTTAGGCCTGCTCCCCGGGGGATCAGGCCTAAGCCGCAGTCAGACATCCTTAGCGCTGCTGAGGAAATGGAAGAGGCAGCCGCCACCTCCGCTGTGTTCACAGCCATCAGCCCAGCTTGTGATTGAGCGGAGCTCCCCCTGTGGGAGCGCACTGACCACCAGGGAGCAGCTCCTGTGTTGAGCATCTGCCCCCTGGTGGTCAGTGCACATCATAGCAACCAGTCATTCCCGGTTGTTCTGCTGTAAGGGTCAATTTGCACATTACCCTTTTATTATATAGGATAAGCCCCATTGGAGCAAGAACTCTATCTGTTCTTGCTCACTAGTATGTGCCCCAGTTTTGGTTCAGTGTCTGGCTTTTAATAGTTGCTAAATAGTTGTTTGGTACATGTTGTTATATGGGATAGATCATGTTGGTTGTAAAAGAGGGCCTGTTTGGGGGATAGCTTGCCTGGGCTACGTGGCAATGTAAGAGATTATTGAATGGTGGGAAAGATGAGAAGTTAGATAAGAACCATGATATTAAGAAATCAAACAGCAAGATGAGAAAGTTATGTTTAATTCATGAAGTGGGAGAGGCCTTAGGTGGGTGGGAGGAGCCTTTTTGATTAGAAGCATTTTTTTTAGTCTGCTTCAGTGGTCTCCAGAGAGGAGTGCTCATGCCTTAGAGGGGACACAGAATAACTTGCTGGGTGGGAGAGATAATATTTCAACATCCACTCATTTTTACTTTACCGCATTCATAGAAATCCTAATTGTATGCTTTATAATTAACATAATGATTAGCATAAATAGCTTTATATAATAAATGTAAAAATAACTTTATATAATATAAAAATAAAACATGACTATATTGAGACTGGAAAGTGCATATGTATCTTTTAGGTATACATTATTATAAATACTTTCCGACTGTACTAGCTAACCCATCAATTTAAGCTGATATTTTGGAGATTACTATTCAGGGAGCTATCACTACATCCCAAGAAAAAAGTATTGGTTACATGGGTTTCAAAAACACTGTATTCAAATTTGCTCTCATGGAGCTTCATAGTGCAGGATTTTGATAGTGAAGACACTAGTTAAACCAATTTAATTTTAATCTAGTGACTTTAAAATTTGTACATGTACAACTTCTGCCATTGCATCTATTTTTATTTTTAAATTAAAACAATTTAATTATAGTTGACAATATTATATTCGTTTCAAGTGTACAACATAGTGGTTAGATATTTATATAAGTTATGAGGTGATATTCCCATTGAGCATAGAACCCATCTGACCCCATACATAGTGATTATATATATTATCGACTATATTTCCTATATTGCACTTTACATCCTTTCCCATAGTAACTTCCTATGGATTGGAGTCCTGTACAATTTCCATGCAGGAATGAATTGAAAGTTCTGAGTTCTGAAGGAGAAAGTAGATTTGAGAAGTATTTTGAAGAAAGAAGAAAGGTTTTCATCTGATAAATCAAAGACTATATTTTAGTGGCAGGAAGAATGTTAGGGGTCAGTAATTCACTCTGTTAATTTACATAATATGTTTGGGGTATTAATGGGATAGTGGAAAGATACTGTGCAATGAGCATATGAAAACATAGGTGTGGAGAGTCTAAGGACAATCCTATATAATAAAGAGCTAATATGCAAATGGTCATCACGCCCCCGTGCCCTCATACCTTAATGGCTCAGACACCCAACACTGGGGAGAGAGGAATGGGGACTAGCCAGGCACAAATGAGCTCGTGAGAGAGGAATGGGGACCAGCCAGGTTGTGGCCCGGGAGAGGGACAAGCCACCCGCTCTGTGGTCCTGGGTTCCTGCAGCTGTGGCCCGGGTGAAGCCACCCGCCCATGGTCCCCTGCGGCTGTGGCCAGCCTGGAGGAAGCTGGCCTGGGTCCTGGGTGCCTGCAGCCAGCCAGAGGGAGGGAATCCTGGGTCCCGGGCATGGGGCAAGGCAGAGATGGTTAGGGGCAATCAGGCAGGCAGGCAGAGGTGGTTAGGGGTGATCAGACAGGCAGGCAGGTGTTTGGTTAGGAGCCAGTGGTGCCAGATTGTGAGAGGCAGTCGGACATCCCCTGAGGGGTCCTGGATTGGAGAGGGTGCAGGCCAGGCTGAGGGACACCCTCCTCCTCTCCACCGCCCCCCCCTGCAAGAATTTCATGCATCGGCCTCTAGTTTGATATAAAGATGTATAGTATGGCTGTCTTGTAAAAGATGATCAGTGAACCCACAGGAATGGAAATTTCATTCAGGAAAAAAAGTAGAAGGAGAAAAGAATTGTTATGATGACTAGTAAATAAGATATTAAAGCATTTAACACCATATCAGGCACAATGTGCTAAATAAAATATTGTTTCCTTTATTTCTTTCACTGGCCTAATAAAATTTTTAGCATTTATATCTTGAACTAAGACAAGGAGTAATCTTAAAAATTGTTCCACCTAAAATACATTCAATATTTTAAGAAACTATGTGTCCGAATTATGAGTTATATTAAATAACAAAAAAAACTGTGATAAAAAATCTCCTATGCTATAATTTAATTTACCTATTTAATTTGTGCTATATTTTGTTATTCAGTCAAAAAGGTGATCAGAAAATGTCTGGAAAACTTCCAGGCCAAAATATAATAGCCTGGTCAGAAAGAGATGAATGTTTTACTATCTAAAGAGATCTTGATCCTCAATTTCATCCCCCTACCTCAAGTGCTACCACTTATTAAACATGCCAAACAAATAAACATTTATTCTAATTCTTAAGTTTCTATGGAAGAAAATTTCATGCATATCATTTCTCTTATTCCTAAACACAGCTAAATAACCTTCTAATAATGAAAATCCACCTGATTCCTTTGTTCCATTTAGAATAGTCTCTCTTTAAGTTTAGAAAATAATTTAAATAATTGATGCTTTAAAGAATATATGCAGAATAAATGTTTTGAATATAATAATAGAATAAATTTTCATAATTCTAGCTTTTATATGGAAGTTCAAAACTAGAGGCCTGGTGCATGACATTTGAGGCACTGGGGGTGCGGGTTCCTCAGCCCGGCCTGTGCTGTCTTGCAGTCTGGGACCCCTTGAGGGATGTCTGCCTGCCAGTGTAGGCCCGCTCCTCCCAGCAGGCAGACATCCCCTGAGGGGTCCCGCTGCTGTGCTCACCAGCCGTGAGCCCAGCCTCTGGCTGAGTGGTGCTCCCCCTGTGGGAGCGCACTGACCACCAGGGGGCAGCTCCTGCATTGAGCATCTGCCCCCTGGTGGTCAGTGTGTGTCATAGTGACCAGTCGTTCCACGGTTTGGTCGATTTGCATATTAGCCTTTTATTATATAGGATAGCCAGACATGCCTAAAGAGGAAAAATAAGGGGGGATAGGGAGACTAATAATGAAGACCTTGTGTTAGCAGTACAGGGACAGAGAATAAGATCCAAGGAAGAGAACAGAAAGCTCAGTTAAAGATCCACATATAACAGAAACGACCTGTGGCAGAGCTGGTGTTCAGATCCCCGGAACAAGGATGCTAGGACAACTGGTTAAGCATTCTCTATATTATCTTTTTATTTTTAACCCTCTGACTAGATCAGTGATGGCGGACCTATGACATGCGTGTCAGAGGTGACACGCGAACTCATTTTTTTGGTTGATTTTTCTTTGTTAAATGGCATTTAAATATATAAAATAAATATCAAAAATATAAGTCTTTGTTTTACTATGGTTGCAAATACCAAAAAATTTCTATATGTGACACGGCACCAGAGTTAAGTTAGGGTTTTTCAAAATGCTGACACGCCGAGCTCAAAAGGTTTGCCATCACTGGACTAGATTAACATCATAATAACATAATGTAATTATTATATATTATTATTATTATTATCTACTCCTTTGGCACTTCCAAGTCTTTCTATGTACTTCGTATTTCCTAGGGAAACATTTTCTGTGAAATTCCAACACAAGACACATGATCACTAAGCAGTGCTGAGTGTATTAAGAGGATTAAGTTATACAATTAGACCTTTTCAAAATAAGAAAGTGAGCAATGCACTTACCAGATTGCTCAAGAAAAGAAATGTAATAATGTACAGACACGCTGTTCCTCTTGGTGCACCTTATAGATTGCCCTGAGTATCTTAATTGTTTCATGAATTGATTTTACTACATCGATTCTCTGCAATAATAGATTTTAGCCTGACATCCTTAATAGAATGAATGGCCTTCAGGCAGCACATTTAATCTCTCTCCCCAAAGGGAATTCTGAACCTAGACGTCATTTGAAACTTACTGTTACAGAGGGTTCCTAGGGTATCATAATCTTCCAAGGACTCACACACCACTCGCCATTGAGAAAAGACAGAGTTCGCGCTTATGAGGTTGGGATCGAAGTTGCTCCTGGAGCCCATCATGTCATCGGTGCAGATGTCACAGACGTTCTTCCCAGTCGCAAAATTCCAGTAAGGCAGGGAGAAGGAAGGGTTCTGCAGCATTTCCTAGATCACAGAGACTCAGTTAGCATGCTCTGGTTTTGTTTAAAATTCCCTCTCTTTGCTGGGTTTCCTCCCGGGCAGTCTATTTCTGTTAGTTCATTTCAGCCACTTAGAAACCAGTTAGTGTGTCTGAGGGGCCGGAGGACTCAACTAGTTTATTAACAAAGCTGCTCATTTACCAGAAGGAGTCACTTTAGGCTCAGGAGCAATTTAAACTCAACTCATTATACAGAATTCCTGCCATTGATTTTTTTTTAGGGGGCAGGGGAAAGGTCTTCCTTTTCTTTTTTAAATAGGTAATTACATTTCTATTGATTATACCACAAGTTATCAATAATAACTTCTACTTCTTGACATTTGCACCTCCCTCCATTACCTTTCTGTAATTCAAGCACTGCTAACTCTTGGTCTGGAGTCAGACCCAGCCTCGAAATGTGTTCTGTGGAGCAGTACCTTTTGTTTTGTTTCTGTTCCTTTTTTTTTTTTTTTTTTTTTTTTTTTTTAGTTTAACTTGAATGACTTTAGGCATTTAGATTCTGCTTTGGCCATAGGCTACACAGACTCTATCAGACTTACCTTATCTGCCTGGGCTGTAAAGAAGTTTTACTTAGAAACCTCTGCTTCAGTCTAAACTTGAAGACTCAGGCTCCTGCCCAAAGCTCATACCATCAGGACATGCTGAAGGGAAACAGAGAATTTCTCTGTGCCTGCTGCTCTTTAGAACAGGGACCTGGTTTCCATTCAGGGCTGATCTCAATGATTTTAAAATGCTGGACTCAAGATCCCATGGGTATTTTTCCTAGGTTCCTTAAAAGATATATTTATGGTCCCTGTTGTTTCTCATTCCTTTTGGTCTTCTGGGAGTTATATTGAGAGTGTCCGATTTAAATGCAGGAATTGCTGTTGTTTAATTCTGCCTCCATGCATTTGGTACATGACTGCCTTTTCACTTCCAACCTTTCTAGGAAGCATCCCCGGGTCCTCAGGGTGTGATCGAGGGCCAAGAGCTTGCCCAGGCATCGCCAGCTATGGGTCTCCAGGGACTTAGAGTCCTCATTTGGAAGCCATTGTTCTGGTTCACAGATATTAGTGACAGCTTCCAAGGGATTATTAAGAGTCATTTGTGGTTCAGTAACTGACATTTGGGAGCTGGGGCATATTCATGTGGCATTTCCACAGCGCATTACATATAGACTGTAATTTGTCGGATCCCTTGTGCTGTTGGGTTTTAAAAATGTAAGTAGTCCTAGTGGTTGAAGTTTACACAGGCAAAATTTGAAGCTTTTAGATACTTTCCATCTGCCCTTTCATTTTGGTGTGCTCATGGGAAAATGACTCAAAGGCATGAAGCTCTAGAGTCGATTACAAATGACAGATTTATCTACGTGTAATCTACTAAATGTCTTGTATTCAGAGCTATAAAATATGAAGTGCAGAGTACCAGATGAATTCATTTAATCACCCTCGAACTGCATGTGGATAGACTACTTTCGTACAAATATCTTATTCTGTATCGTCGTGCATTATTTTTCTCTCTTTTAACCATTTATTTTCTTGGAATAATGCTGGGCACAAGGATACTACAAATCGATAAATAAACACCTTTTCTGCCTTCAGATATTTTTAGGTTATTTTTTAGATTTTAACTTAGGGAGAGGGATTCATTACAGTTATTTCACATAGAAAACTGGTTTAATTTGTTGATTTCCTAGATCTAGTAATTTAAAATTTTATTTTAAAATTACAATACTTTTCTTAAGAAGGAGCAATTAGTAGAAGACACAATAATAAAGTATCTTTGTTAACAGATAATTTAATGTGGTTTGAGCTTATGTGCTTAAAAATAGATAGGAAACCTGGTCGCTGTGGCTCAGTGGCTTAGCATCGATCCATGAACCAGGAGGTAAGGGTTCGATTCCTGGTCAGGGCACATGCCTGGGTTGTGGGCTTGATCCCCAGTAGGGGGCATGCAGGAAGCAGCCAATTGATGATTCTCATCTTTGATGTTTCTATCTCTCTCCCTTCTCCTTTCCTCTATCTTGAAAATCAATAAAAACATATTAAAAATAAGCAGGAAATAACTGTTTGGGTTGAAGTTCACTTTATGCCAATGCCTCTTAAGTGAAAATGATATCTAACTGATGGGATGTTTTTAATAGATTTCTTCTGTAAGCCTCAAAGTGGTAAGGGGCACCGAAAACAATCGTGCTCCATGAAAATATGACAATATAAATGGAAAGGAACTTTTTACATCATTTAATCCCTATCCCACATTAGTATTGTCCACTGGTATGAAGAGTTACATATTTGGGACTTGGAAGACTGTCAAGTTCATACACACTTGCTTCACCCAAACCAGTAAGGGGCTTACATTTGAGAAGAAGGGCATATCAAATGAGATTCTTTCATTGCAAACTATATGAGTCATTGTTTTACTTACAGAGCCCTGGAACATGCCCAGTGCTTTCATTTCACCTACAAATGTCTCACTTGGTTTCCTTATCATTGAGATTACTTTCTTTTCACTTCACAAGCGGTCAAGATCAATTAATAAGCAATTAGCATAGGGAGAAACTTAGAATGCCTAAGGCAGATCAATAACCGGGATTGCTTTGTCATGCCAGGCTTTGGAACACAGTGGATCAAACGACTTGCACACAAGGTGCCCTGGGTGTAAAGGATCTGAAAATGGAAATGTTCCCTGCGTACCTGCATGTCTCTCTCCAGCTGCAGCAGGTGGTACCTGTGCCACGTGAGAAAAGCTGGCCCTTCATGGGAGAAGTCCACTTCGCCAAAGCTTTCCTGGCCTGCCCCAAGGAAAGTCTTTTTGACCGAATAATAGTGTGTCCACACAAAGTAGTTGTAAATGGAAATGTTCTCGAATTGGGGTGTGTTGCCATCTGGCCCCAAGATTTCTTCTGACCTCCTGGTGGCAATGACAAACTGGGGGTGAGTTGTGCGCTTCGCCATATCCAGGGCCCGGACAAAGTAGTTCTTTTCTTCTGTACTTAAATCCAGAAGGTTTCTCCTGACTTTAGGGATACAAAATTCAAACGTGAAAACCTCTGCCTTCTAGGGATGGGTAGAGAATGAGCATAATAATCTAACACACCATGCTCTGTTTACTGGTAATGATAATCTGCATATATGTTTAAAAAATGTTATACTTTAAAAAATACCTCTTACTATATATCCCTCCCTCCCCATCTCTCTGGCTCCCTCCGTCTGTCCCTCCCTCAGTTGCTCTCTCCCTCCCTCTCCAATTTAATAGAGAATTTTATTAGCTTTCTGTCATCTTACTTGTGGACTTTATGATTGTGTTCTGTTTATTTCTGCTCTCTATTGACATTTTTCTTAAAATTTTCTACATTTTTAATGTCATAAATCTTGCAAAAACAAGGGATGTGGTATAGCATGGTGGTGAAGACCAGAGACTCATTCAATGACCACACATTTCTCTAAGCCTCAATTTTCATCTGCAAAGTGTATGTAAAACACTAGAGGCCCAGTGCATGAATTCGTGCATGGGTGGGGTCTGGACAGGGGGAGGGGCCGTGGGCGGTTGGCTGGCCCTGCCCCCTGGTCAAACTCCAGGTCTAACTCCTGGTCTAGGGGACAATTGCATGTTAGGCTTTTATTATATAGGCTAATATATCTTTGCAGAGTTGTACATTTTAAAGGGTTTACACATGAAAAGCAGTTAGACCAGAGCCTGGCTCATAATAAAGACTCAGTACACATTCTGTTCAACCCTTGGTCTGGCACATAGAAAACAATCATGTTTTGCTGGCTGTTACTATTTCATGCCTTGTTATTAATTGCTATTTAGGCTGCCGGCTGGCCTCATCATCTAAAATGGCTAAACTTGCTCATCACAGTGGAAAATTTATTAGGGGGGTAGCAAGGGGAGTAGAAGAGGCCCATGTATTAGAGGTAGACAGACCTCAGCCTGAATTCCAGGTTTTCCTAGTAGCAGCTGTGTGGATTTGTCCTTTCGGGACCACACCTATGCTACTTAACATAAGTACCTTGAGGAGTTACTGAAAGAATAGTTCTAAACCTCTAGCACAGTTCCCCACAGACAGTGGTGGCTCAACATATGTTTTGGAAGAAAATATTAATCAGATGACCTGAGCTCCAAGCCCATTCCTTTAAGTGACATACATTTCTTAATCTCTGTAAGCCTCTTTCCTCAGCCATGGAGAGAGGATTGAGCTGTATGATTTTCCCAGAGGTTCTTCCAGCTCAAATGATTTGGGTCTCATGCAGGACTGGCTATCCGTCCATCCCCCCACTTACCTGTGAGCACCCTCTGGTCACAGGCGGTTCCTCTCCATCCAGGACGGCAAGTCCCACAGTTGTGTCCCGAGAAGTTGCCATTGCAGTGACACGTCCTGTTGAAGAAGCGTGTGGGCCAGCCCTCCCTGTCGTCTAGGCCATCATGCGGGTACTGGGGGCCGTGGGGTCGGGAGTCCGCAGTCACTGCCTCACACCTGCCCCTCCCTGATGAGGAGCCGCAGGGGTCAGTCCCAGGCCCGGACACGGGGGCCAGGTCTGGGCAGCACACACCATTCCTCAAAGCCTCCGTGGTGGCACACTCCCTGGGAAACTGAGCCCCCGCCTGCTGAGTGAACAGCAGGGGCAAGAAGATGTATCCTAGAGAGAGGAGTCTATGAACTTCCATTCTGCTGGAAGCAAGGCTCTGGTTCTGCGGCCCTTTGTGCAGAGACTGAGGCACATAGAGAAAAATCAAGCTGAAAAGGAGAAAGCAAAATGGAATTAGGCAAGGCTTTTTGTTGTTGTTGTTTTGGCATGTTATCAGTGGCATGAGCCCTTTCCAACCCACCTTCAAAACGCTTTTCAAATCTGTCGCATGACAATCCAAGTCAGAAAAACAGTTGTTTACCTTTAAAAGTTTGACATGTATAATACCTACATAATTACACCCCCCATCCTAGTCATTTAGTTTTCTTCCGTCTTAATTTCTATTTATAAAAATACTTATCCTGATGCCATTTATCAAAAGCAGTCATTAGCAGGTCGCCACCACTAACTACATCTAACCATGGGGCTGCAAGAAGAATTGGGAGCAGGTTTCCAGCAAGTTAATTTTCATCCTTTAAAATCACCCCCCCCCCACCTAATGGAGGCTTGGCTGGGGTCCACCCACTTCCCGTGGAGCTTCTCTCCAGTACCTCCAACTCCTGAGGGGATTCTCCGCCAAACCGCTCTTAGAGCTGAGGGTTTTATATTTGCCCGTCGTCCCCTGATGTCAGAGCTGTTAATTGCTTGTGGGTTTCTGCCTGATAACTAATCACAAACCTGCTCACCCAAACTGGGAGGGGCTGGTGCCCTTCTGCACCCTTTACTAATCCTCTTTCACGTCAGTGAGTTTTTCTGCCCTTTAAGTACTTGGTTAGCACATGATTCCCTCTCCACTGATTTCCTTGTGATGCTCAAAAGGCCAGAGGCACTCATTTGGAATACAACAAATCAGAGGGACCAGAGAACATTTGTCTCTGCTGTAGAGTTTTTATTTGTGACACATATACCTTTAGAGGATGAAATCAGAATACTTGCTCTTTCTTGGTGATCCAAGGTTAGGCCAATGCTTACACCTGATGGCAGCTTTTGATTGTGTTTGGTCTGGAAAACAAATGCTGCCATTCTTACCATTTCTAGAGAGAATAATTGTTTTAGAAAAGGCATGAAATTGCCTGGCTGGTGTGGCTCAGTGATTGAGCATCGACCTATGAACCAGGAGGTTACAGTTTGATTCCTTGTCAGGGCACAGGCTTGATCCCCACTGTGGGGAGTGCAGGAAGCAGCCGATCAATGATTCTCTCCCATCATTGATGTTTCTAATCTCTCTCTCCCTCTCCCTTCCTATTAGAAATATAAAATAAAATATCTATAAAAGAAAAGCATCAAATACAATTACACCAAGTCATATGCCATTGGTCCTCCTGGTGCCGACCTTGAGTACCTTTCACCTGCATTGGGCAGGTGTTCATCTCTTCGGCAAAGTATCACAGGTTCACTGCTGTTTCTGTGGTTTAGAAGTTGACCACTAACCAGCTTCTTTCCTACTTTCTGTTCAAGGATTAAGCCAATGGCACTAATTTTAAATTATTTAAATGCCTTGCTAATTTTAATAGCCTTATACCATCAGTAACCAATATCTTAAGGTTTCATATCCATTCAGGGCAAAATTAATTGTAAAACCTAATGCATATAAAATAATATTTACATAGTTTTTTTTGCTTGCTTTGATTTTTTTTTAGTTTGACTTCTTGCTGGATTGAAGTAGATGATCATTTTCTCTCTTGATTAAATTTAATAGCAATGTACCAAGGTGGGTTTCTTAGTTTTGATAAAGGTACTAAAATCATGTATGGGTGAAGAGTGTATGGAAACTGTGTAACTTCTCTGTATATCTAAAATTATCCCAAAATAAAATGTTCATAGTAAAAATCTATTTTGAAAATTAGGTAACCTATTCCTATATGTTTATGTGTGCAGATATCAGTAAACTACAAGGTGCCATATTATGTTGAAAGCAAAACAGAAACAAACACGAAGCTTTGTCCATCATGCCTCTTTGTTATATAATCCTCACAGTTACCCCCGGACACCCCAAGTGCAGGGTGATACATAAATGACTGATAGGGGGCAGGCGAGGGCATCAGTATAAATATAAAACTATGCTCTGATATTTTCTTTCTGGACCCTAATGGATTTGTGCACTTCCAGGAGATTGTGGGAACGCCACCTTGGGTATCACTACCAAGAGTGATCTTATTTGGCCACATGGAATTCATCCATGAATTGGCGAATCCTGCTGATAACTAATAACAATCTTTCCCCAGAGGATATGACTTATATATCTAACTTCCTATTTACTAAGTCCACTTAGATGTCTAATTGGTCACACATTTTTAAAACATCTTCCTCAGTCTTTCCCATCTCAGTGAATGAAATTACTGTTTATCCCATTGCTTGGGGGTGGGGAGGAGAGGAGGGAGAGGAAGGGACATACCTGCAAAAGCCACTGTTTCTTTCTCTTCGTTTCATGCAAACTGCATTCATCACTTAGTCTAACAGCCTAACTTTGAGCCATCATTATCTCTCACCTGCCTATGACCATAACCTAGTTTATCTCCTCACTTTCCATGCTTAACCACGCAGGAGTTTATTCTCCACATAAGGTTTTATTCTCCATTCGGCAGCCTGAGAGAGCTTTTTATTGCTGGTACTTGGTTACCACTGCTCTCAACAAAACCCTTCAATGGCTTCTGAACTCACCTAGGATAAATCCAAGTGCTTAGAGAAGCCTATATGATCTGGCCCCTCCTATGTCTGACGACCTTCGTCCATCCTCCCACTGCCCTTCCTCTTGTTCTTTTGCTTAAGAACAAGCTTAGTACAGCCTCTGTACTTACACCTACTGCTCCCTCTGCCATCTCCCAGGTCTTTTATGACTTACTCTGTCACTTCTCTCAGGTCTCTGGTCCACTGTTACCTCTTCAGAGAGGCCTTGCCTAAGCGCCCCACCTGAAGTAGACCTCTCCATCCCCAATGCCATCAATCATCACTTGCTTCTTAGGACTTAGTCTTTTTCATAATCCGAAGGACTACCTGAAATGTGTATTATTCATTCATTTCTTACTTACAGTTTCTCACTTATCAGAAGACAACCTTTTGTCGTTCTTTTCCAGTATTGACCTAAGCCCATTGTCGGCAAACTGAGGCTCGCGAGCCACATGCGGCTCTTTGGCCCCTTGAGTGTGACTTTTCCTAAGCCTTAGGAGTACCCTAATTAAGTTAATAACAATGTACCTACCTATATAGTTTAAGTTGAAAAAATTTGGCTCTCAAAAGAAATTTCAATCGTTGTACTGTTGATATTTGACTCTGTTGACTAAGGAGTTTGCCGACCACTGACTAAGCAATCTTAGAGAGCCATATAGCCATGCTTAAAAATGAGCGAGGATTAGACATTTGATGTCTTATCCCCAGTCTAATGGTAATCAGTGCTCTCACTGAAAGGAATGTATTTTCATTAGCTACCAAGAACGAGCATCTATTATTTCCCTAAGTACTGTACATACATTACCTCTCATTCTTTCAAAATGTTATTAAAATATTACTTTTATTCTTGTTTTGAAAATGAACAAACAGAAGTTATGGAGTTTAAACCTCTTTAAAATTATGCAGTTTGTAATTAGAAATCTCAGGTTTCAAAGCCAACTTAGTTTGGCTCCAAAATGTTTGTGGTTTGCAAGCACTGCTCACACTCTAAAGGAGGAAGGCTGGGGAATGGAGAGAGTGCTGCATTTCAGCTCATCAAATAGACCAGCTGGGACTGAGTGAGCAATCCCTTTGTTTCCCTGAGTCTCAGCTCTGACCTGTCAACTATGTGTAACAAGTCTATATTGTTGGAGCAAATAAGCTCAGATAAAAGTAATCAGACAATCAATCAATACTAATTTAACAAGTAAATGAATCAAAGGTAGAACTTTTGAAATCGATGAAAAATAATAAAGTGAATACCATATTTATAACTACCTTACAATACTCAAATGTATTTTACACAATGCCCTCATTACTGGCAAATGCCAAATCCATGTTACAAATAGTCCTGTGAAATAAGAATGTCAAACATTGAAGAGAGAGGGAAGCTGAAACAACAGTCTCTATTAATTGTGAAAACCTGGAAATAGACCCCCCACTAGTGTATTCCACACACATACACTGACATTATTCCTCAGCTTGCTGGTGTTTTCCAATGCAAGAGGCTGGGGCAAAGTGTAGAAAGAAGAAAATGTACTTGTGTCTTTCTATTTTGCCTGGATATTGTGAAATGTGTGGTGTCAGGATCCTTCTAAATTATTCACAGCATAGGTCAGAAATGAATGTCAAACTACATGTGCAACACTCCTTGGACCACTGCAAAAGTTATTTCTAAGATTTCTTTGGTGGAAATTAATTTTTATACAGTAATTTTGCCTTACGAATGGGCTAAGTCTGAAACTTTACCTACATGTATCTGTCTACACATGAATCTAACAATACAGGCATTTGTAAAAAATGCATAATTAGTTATTACCAGTGAAATAATAGCAAATGCTCAATGACCTTTAGATGAATGATACTGCTGAATTCCATAAATTGTGTTAAAGCTTTATTAAACCAAAGAAATCACTTTGAAGACATAGGGAGCTATGCACAGAAGGAGTACTGAGTATTGTACTGTAAACACAGTACAATTAGTGTGCGTGTCAGACATTTATAGCTGATGTGAATAAAGATCATATCTCAGGAAAAGGGACTGATCCTCTCCCTATATTTTCCTTTGAAGTCTTATGATTGTCATTTATAAAAGAAGTAAGGAAAAAAACTAATGATAAAGGACCAGGAATTTAAGTTAAGTTGAGGAGAAAATATTTCAGGAATATCCTTCTTTTTCTAAAAAAATTATTAATGAATATTAACATCTTTAGTAATATCTGTGGCAAATGAGAGTGACTATATTCATTGCCCTTTTGGATTACATGTTATTCAATTATATGCTTAGTTGTTCTCAGCTTAGATTAATGGTTAGAATTCCAAAGGCATTAAGGCAACTCAGTCATCTGTTAGGCCAGTCATGTGTTCATACCTCATGGAGGAGCTTAAATTCAGTGGAAGCAAAGGGAAGAATCTCAGGGCTGGTTTCTGTGTCACTGAGCAGAGATTCAGTCAAACATACCATTGCTATTTTCGGGCAGAATATTTGAAGTTGAGGTCTCAGATAATGTGGTCTCCAATACAATGTGTCATTAATTTTCTTATTGCATTTTTGAAACTCTGTAATATATTGCAAATACTGGTGCAGGGCCAGTTAACAATATTTGATTTTGTTTATTGAAATCTTCTCTTGATAAGTTAATATTAAAGCATTTAAAGTCTTTCTGTTTTGTTATGTTTTGTTTTGTTTTTAATCCTAACTGGAGGAGTGAGGATATTTTTTCCATTGATTTTTTAGAGAGTGGAAGCAAGCAGAAACGGGGAGAGGAGAGAGAAGTATTTATATGAGAGAGACACGTGGGTTGGTTGTCTTCCACACACATCCTGATTGGGGTGGGGATTGAACCTGTAACCCAGGTGCAGGTGCCCTTGACCTGGAATCAAACTTGCAACTCTCTGCTGCTCAGGCTGATGCTTTAACCACTGAGCTCACCAGTCAGGGCTAAAGTATTTATTTTGCTGATGATTTACTGGTATATTCTGCTTGTTTTAACAAATGACCTTGTAAGATTTCCCTATAGAGAAACTGCCAACTACATGTGTGTTAGGCATCAAAGTAAAATAATCACAGATA